GATTATAGCCACAAATTAGAGAAACATATGAAGGCTAAATTAAGGGAAATGAATGGAATTCCACAGGAAACCCATAGAGATGAAAAAAAAACTGGGACTCAAATCAATGTAGTGGACCAGAAGGAAGAAAAAAATGCTCAAACAGAAAGGAATGAAGAAATAAGAATTCAGAAAAATGAGGAGAAGCTTAGGAACCTCCAGGACATCTTTAAACGCTCCAATATCCGAATTATAGGGGTACCAGAAGGGGGAAAGACACAACCACCAGTGGAAAAACTATTTGAACAAATAATAAAAGAAAATTTCCCCAATCTGGCAAAGGAAATAGACTTCCAAGAAATCCAAGAAGCCCAGAGAGTACCAAAAAAGTTGGACTCAAGAAGAAACACACCAAGGCATATCATAATTACATTAGCCAAAATTAAAATGAAGGAAAGAATCCTGGAAGCAGCAAGAGGTAAGGGGACAATCACCTACAAAGGAGTCCCCATCAGGCTGTCAGCAGATTTCTCAAAAGAGACCTTACAGGCAAGAAGGGGCTGGAAAGAAATATTCCAAGTCATGAAATCTAAAGACCTACAACCAAGATTGCTCTACCCAGCAAAACTTTCATTTAGAACGGAAGGACAGATAAGGTGCTTCTCAGATAAGACCAAATTCAAGGAGTTCATCATCACCAAGCCCTTATTATATGAAATGTTAAAGGGACTTATCGAAGAAAAAGAAGTTAAAGAAACATGAACAGTGAAAGGACAACAAACTCACAGTTATTAACAACCACACCTAAAACAAAAGCAAACTAAAGGGACAGCTAGATCAGGAGTGGAAACATAGAAATGAAGATCTCAAGGAGGGTTAGCAACAGGGGAGTGGGAGGAGGAGATGGGGGGAGAAGGTACAGAAAACAAGTAGCATAGACAGTAGATAAAAAATAGATGGGGGGGCAAGAATAGTATGGGAAATATAGAACCTAAAGGACTTGAGACACATGGACATAAACTAAAGGGGGGTAATGGTGGGGTTGGGGGGGCAGGGTGGAGGGGAATGAAGGGGGGAATAGAACAACTGTAACAGCATAATCAATTCAAAAAAAATAAATAAATTTAAATAAAATTTTGAAAATAAAAAAAAAAAAAAGAATGCCTTCAATGCATTAGGCTGCGTTCTGGACCTCGGGGATATAGTTGTGAAAAACACAAACACCTTTGCCTCCCTGGATTTGACATCCTAGTCATCAGAGGATGACAAAAAGAAACATACTTTGCAGGTTCTTGTTCAGACCTTTCAAACATATTCCAGCTTATCATGAACTTTCTAAAATTTGTGGCACCCCAAAGTTGAGCAAAAACTCCATCCAAGTGCCCTAAGTGGAATCTGGCCTTCCAGATCATAATGAAAGTGTATTTGTAACTTTTAGATTTATCTTCATCAGGGTGGGACGACAGAACATATTCTGTTTAACAGGTTGGTGGCTTGACTTATTACTCAAATATTTAGACCTTTGGTATGCGGGCCTCTGCTTGGACTCTGGTCTCTGGCCCCACCGGGGTGAGAGGTGGGTATGTTGATGGAGGGTGCTGAATTTCTCAGAATTACTTTTTTATTCATGGCAGCAAAATCCATAGGTTTAAGTTCCATTTTCTCCAAACAAATCAACAGCATAGTACAATCTTTGTTAGGCAATCTCTGTTGCAAAAACCAAACCTGCAGGATGAGCTTCTGCATTTTCTCCCCTCAGTGGCACCGGGTTCTACATGGTGGGGCCTTCCCTCCACCACACAGCTTCCTCTCGTGCGCGGCCTTGGTGTGCTCACAGCTGCCCTGTGCTCCTCTAACTGAGCATGCTTTCAACATGCACCCCTGGTTGCCATCTGTCGGGTTTGCTCCATATTCCTAGATTCAAAATTTCAGGGACAAGAATCTGCAGTCATTTTGGTCAAGGATGGGCTGCATACACGAGAGTGGTCCCTTGAGATTATAGTGAAACTAAAAAGTCCTGTCACTTACTGATGGTGTGACTAACATAACATCATAGTGTGACACGTTACTCACGCTTGTGGTATTGCTGGTGTAAACCAATCTGCACTGCCAGTCATAGGAAAGTACAGCACATACAATTACAGTTCTGGGCTCTACCGTCTAGGTTTGTGCAAGTACACTCTATGGTGTTTGCACGATGATGGAATCAGCTTCCAACGCATTTCTTAGAATGGGAAACCTGTTGGTAAGTGGCACGTGGCTGTGATTTGATCTCCTTGACCCCTTGTGGGAAACATTTACCCCACGTCAATTCATAGGCCAGTCCTGGTCTAATTAATCTGATACGACACTGATGAGAAGCCTGTTATTTTAGTTAGGTGTGTACCCCCATCCAATCAGCTGTAGGTGGAGGGGACCATGTAATGGAAAGGATGGTGGCTGAGGGCAGGTTCATCAGCAGGGCTGTGCAGCAGGGGGCAGCGTTGGGGGGCAGAGGGTAGTTCTCCTCAGAAGTGGCCGAGGGCACAGGGAACTCCACGATTGTCTAGTGTGGTAGTTGTGGTGAGTGTTGGGAGCCTCCCCGACATATTTTCTACACACTCTTCAAGAAAACAGTTCATCTCCTTACCCATCTCCTTATGCACCATAACGCATCCCTGTTACTGGAGCACTAACCAGTAATATATGCACATCTTTCCGTGGCAGGTACAATAACGGTTTAATCAGCGATCATCAGTGGTTCTTCATTTTGAGAGATGCATGGAATATACTGCTCGTTCCTCAAAGGTGCGTAATTCACTTTGGGTGAGGGCTGCACCCCACTTAACGAGGGGCCGGGAAAGGTCTAGATAAGGCCCTAGCAAAATAGTGTGGTTGGGTCCTCAGGGAGACTTGCTTAGAGGGGACATTTATGAATCTGAACTAAAGTCTTTAGAAAATGTCAAGAAAAAAGTTGAGGAAACCAAGTCCAGGTGGCAAATCCAGAGGACAGAACCAGGGCAAAAGCAGGAGACGATCCAAGCATCAGGAATTGGGCAAAACCGGAACAGATGGCAGGTGTGGAGAGGACTGCTGAGGGGGGGCCCAAGTGTCTGCACTTGCTTCTATGGACTCACAAGGTGGTACGTGCTGGGCAGTGTTGGCCTAAAGGCACCTGATTGAGGGAGACCTTCAGGAAGAGTCCCCCTTCTCCCCCATTTACTGCTGTTCACATTCTTTTGTCTCCTGGCTCTGGAGAATCATTCCAACTCTCCTCCACCACCTTGAAACTTTCTACTTTCTGCTGCAATTTTCTCTTCCTGCTAATCTCAGGAGAGGTCAAGAACAACCAGCTTTGCATCTTCCCCAGGGAAACCCTGCCTGTCCCCCGCTGTCCCCCAGTAGGCCATTCCTGGGAAGATCTGCTTTCTCTTTATATTGCATATTCTGCCCCACCAACTTCCAAGCTGATAACGACCAGGGAGAGGTAGCAGTTAACTAGGTCACTTGTTATCGCCTCTTTGATTTGCTCTCACATCATCTCAGGGACTCACACCTCATTCCTCTGGTGGGCTAATCCACAGGAAACAGGTAACACCTTGGTCACAGACCTCCACACGCATGGCCTGTTCCATACCTTTCCTCCCAGTGCTGCCTGAAAAAGGCATCCGTGCAGCTGTACAGCCAAAGATGATGCCACCAATAATTACGAATGGGAGAAAGTCCCTTGAATTGCTCAACTGGCCCAGAGGCCATTAAAATGTCCTTATTCCTAAGGAAAACTTTTTAAAGGTCAGTCCCCAGTGGGCCTACTTGCAAATGGCCATTTGAACCTCTTATCTCTACCTGAGACTTTTCTTGTTACCCAATGCAGAATACCTGTGAAGTTACTGACCTAAGGGTGACCTCTATGGGTGGGGTGAGTGTGGAGGCAGGGGGGTGTCTTCGAATCTCTATTCGGAATGCACTGACAAAGGTGATCCAGGGTTGCTGAAATCTTACTCTGGGTGCTGTGTGATAACATTGAGGCAAATGGGCTTTTGTGGACTGGCATGGGAACCAGGCTCTGGACACACTCACAGTCTTCTGGAACATATTTTACTTATAATTTTGGGACTGTCTCTAGTGCCTATTAAAAGTCTTGGTATTATAGAATCCTGTTGTTAATAAAGCATCAGCTATAACCTGAAGCTAACAGTCACCTTTCAAAACCGGGTGTTCTCCCTGAGAAAAACTTTTGCTGCTTCTGAGGTGCCAGTTACGTGGAACTACTCCAACAGCCCCAATCTCTGAGATGTTTACATTAGCTAAAAATACACAACTTATAAAGAACTGACCGCTTCGCCTGAAATTTTCATTTGTTGAACCAACTGCAACATTAAGCAGGTGTTATCATGGTCAAGTCTATTACTTCAACTCCAAAAGTATTTTGGTGTTTACCAGTGGCCTAAATGATGACTTAGGATTGAGGAAAGTATTTATTGAGTATACCGTGTTTGCAAACACATGGAACAAATTTAAATTGCACAGATGAAAACCCCATCACAAAGTGCTTCAGGTTAGCACTGGTTATAAAAAGGCCAGCAAAATCATTTTTACCACAAACTGATTGTGGTGACATCTCTGTGTTAACATAAACATGTAACAGAAATATCATCCAGCCCTCTAACACTTGTACATATAGTGTGTTCTACAGCAGTTTAGCACTTACACCAACACAGGCCTTTTTCAGCAAACCAAGCACAATTTCCTGAGTGCCTATACCATGGGGGAGATGCAGGTACTACATAATTGCTTACGTTCGCCTTCTGAGTAAGCAATTCAATTGTTTTTCTTAGCAAGTAACTCACAATCCACAGTAACTCCCTCCACAGCGCCCTCAGAGGGGCTGCAAGCTGAACTAAACTGATGTCCACCATAAAAGCCTTTCTCTCTCTCTTTTTTAAAATATATTTTTTGATTATGCTATTACAGTTGTCCCATTTCCCCCTCCTCATTCCCCTCCGCCCTGCACACTGCCTCCCTTTTCTCTTGAACCCTTTTCTCTTGAACCCTTTTCTCTTGAACTCTCAACAAGGTCTCCTATCTTTGTGCATCTAACTAAAATAAATGGCCATTTGAAATAGTGTACACATGGCAACAATATACATTCACATATTCCACCCCCCCCACATACACATATATTATCATATTTATTTAAGAGAAAGAGGTTTTCAGGAGTCAAAATTGAGTTTTCATGGTGATTGTCACAATAAGTGTTACTTTGGCTAAGTCACTTTATCTCTCTGGGTCTGTTTTCTCATATCTAAAATGGGATCAATAATAGAATTACCTTATTGGGTAGTTGTTAAGGATTAAAGGAGCTAATACTTACAAGTTTCTTAGCACAGGGAGCACCTATTCAATAAACAGTAGATTTCATTAGTTCTCTTTCACTTATTAATAATTACCTCAACCTTTGTAGGTCTGCCAGGAAGTTATTGACCCCTGTTTGATAGATGAGATTAAGTAATTTACTTTACCCAGGGCTAAACAATTCCTTAGTGTAGGCTCCATGGTTTCTGATTCCAAGCCCCAGGCCCCTCACCACACCCATCATCCCCAATCAACCGTAAAGACTTTTATAGAATGGGTTGCACTGTCCAGCACAAGAAGAGAATTCTCCTTGGTGAAGGTCAGTGCCACAGGATGAGAAAGACCATGGGTGATGATGGGCTTCAGTACTGGAAACTCCTCGGGTTTGCCTAAGCACAGGACCGCATGACTGGAAGTATCGGCGACAATCACATTGCCCTGGTGATCAAAGGTCACCGCAGAGGCAGTTATTTCGTAGGGGAAGAAGAGGCTCAACCCAAAGGTATCCACCTGGCCGATGAGCTGCATGCTTGCACTGAACACCTTCACTGTGGTGCTGCAGGTCCCGGGCCCCAGAGTCAGGGGGCGCTCTAGGACTGCAATGGCCCCCGTGAGCCCAGACACAGCCACCCCTCTGGGACTACGCAGATGCGATTGCAACCTCTCCGTTTTCCGGAGGACCCCTTCTGGAAAGTCCACTTCCAAGAGGTGCAGGGACCCTGCTTCCGCATCAGTTACCACGACCCCATTCTGAGGGGTGGTCTCCACACCCCAAGGCAAGGAGAACTGGCCTCCAATGACAACTTTGATCTGGCCAAAAAAATCAAACACCTTGATAGAGCGGTCGCCGGCGTCAGTAACAACCACATGGCAGTCGTTGGTGACAGTGACATCGAGTGGGTACCTAATTTCCTGGGCAGCGTCCCCTTTCTCTCCAAACTGATGAGCACATCCTCCCCCGGAATCAAATATCTTGACCCGCCTTTTGCCGTCATGCACCACTACCACACGCCCTGTCTTGGGACATAGCGCCAGCCCAGTGGGGTTAACCAGGGTTCCCCAGCCGCCAAAGGCGTGGTGGCAGGTGAGGGTCCCAGCGCTGCAGGCGGGGACGCGGTGGGTGGCCGGGGCCTGGCGCAATGCGGAGCCCAGGAGCTCCAGGAGGTGCAGCACCGGCAGGCAGTCGCTAGTGTCGGAGCCCCGGCAGGCTCGGCGGCAGAAGGGGCACTCGAGGGCAAGCGTCCGAGGGTGCGCCAAGGCAGCCACGCAGGCCAGGCAGACCACGTGGCCGCAGGACAGGTTGCGTGGACGCCGCTGCTGGCGATGGCCGAACCTTTCAAAGCACACCTTGCACTCGAGCAAACTGGTCTCGGCCTCGCGCATGAGCTCCGGCAGAGCGGGCCCGCTCCCCGAGGCCTCTGCACTCATCATGCAGCCACTGGCGTTCCGGCTGCGCCACCAGCCAAGGACTGGACACCGCCCCCACGCCGCTGGACACTGCCCCCGCGCTGCCCAGGGTCACGGTCAAGGGGTGGAGCGTCGGTCCTGACGTCAAGCGCAGCGGAGCACTTGGGGGAGACCTGCTGCCCTCTGGTGGGCGTGTGCAGCACTGCTTCCTAAAAGCCTGACAGTGGGCAAATATTTACAAGCTATATACACAGAGTGTGGTCGAACGTGTAATCCTCACAACAGTCATGGATGGATTGTGTCCACCTAACACATGAAGAAGTACACCTACTGAGAACAAGAGGGTTCCTCCCTGTAACCCAGTCTGTTAATGGCAAAGCAAGAATTAGAACGACCCAGTCTTCCAACTCGGGTGCCTTGCTGGGTCTAGGGCTGGCCGGACTCACAGTACATGCTGCTTGTGATCAGACTGGAAAACACAGACACACGAGGAAAGTTAAACTTCAAGGGGGCGAGACAGGTGTGTGTCTCCTATCCACTCACAGTTAAAGTAGATAATGAATACGTGTAAAATAAATTCATGTAGGAACAAAGATGTGTTACAGGACAATACAAGAAATCCACTAGGTGAATGAGTGTGAGAGATGGGGGAACCATGGCTGGGAATGTCTTCTAGAGGAATTAATATGAAATACATAAACTGTTCATCATAATTGCTATAGAACTTATTCCATATCTGCTTTCTATTAAGTGGTTTACATAGATTATCATATTTAAGCCTCATGACAATCCTATAAGAATGCTATTTTCACCATCCCTTTTCTACAATAGAGTTCCTAGAAGTTAAGCATCTTGGCTAGGGTCACATGGCTCGGAAGTGGCCGGGCTTGGACTTGAAGCCAGGCAGTCTGATTGCAGAGACCACTTCTTAACCATTCCAGTGTTTTTCCAACCTGTGTGTCTTATACCTAAGGTTTAATTGGTCTGGGCAGCTGGGATTTTTAAAGCTTCTGGGACGATCCTTCAAATGGTACCAGGTTAAATACTTCCAACTTCACAGATAATCTACGCTATATTTCAAAAATCTTCAAATAGGTGAGAGCATAACCTCTCATTTTCAGGAAATCCCTCCTACTTCTGCTCCCCAATACCTTACATGAACATTCTCTTTGTAAAACCACGTATCAGCTCACCTGTCTTCATTCAGAGACCATCACCACGCTTATTTGCCCTCCTATTTGCCAGACTTCTGGGGGAACAGAGGACATTTACTCTGTGTGCAAACCCCTGGAGGCACTTTAATATAAGATAAGAAAGAACTTTTTTTTTATGTGTTACATGATTCAAAGATTGTCTGTGTGTTGGAACATAAAACCAACTTAATATTATAATTTCAGGCTACAATACATCTCCATTCCAAATAAACAGTGAAATAAAATCTAATTAAATAAACATTACTTTCTGAAGTAATCTTTAAGTCAAGAAACACATTCAGGAAACCAAAAATGTAATATTGTTGGACCTAGTGTCTATTACAAATATAATGAGAGCCTCATTATAATATTAGATTTTCTAGTACCCACATTTTAAAAAGTAAAAAGAAACTAGTGTGATGATTTTAATTTTATATTTTATTTAACCCCCCATACACAAAATACCATTTGGACATGAAGTCTTTATAACAATTATTAAGGAGATATTTTACTCTCTTTTTTTAGTCCTGAGTAAAGTTCAGCGTGTATTTGACGCTCACAGCACATTCCCATTTAGACCGGCCCCAATCAAGCGCTCAGGAACCACATGCCACTGGCGGCTGTGGCAGGAACAGCGCAGATCTAGACCGAGTCTGCACTGTGAATGCTGCCTTCTTGAGATGCTTTCCGGACTAATTTCATTGATTTCTTGACCTGCTACTAACTTGTCTCTGCTCCCACATTGTATTAAAATGTGTACAAAGATCCCTCAGCTCATTGCTGACTGTGGGGGAGCTCAGCCCCTTCAATGACCTTAGGTAGGTTGTCAGGAGAGAACAGGAGGGCTCCACCTTGATTGCTCTGGTCCCTGCTAATCATGGCTTCTTCTTGATCCTCTGCTGCCCCTGCGGGGCAGCCAGTGGTACTGCACCAAGAGGTGAGGTAAAACAGAAAAGGTGCAATGAACCTGGCGTTTTAAAAGAATGATCTAGTAGTAATCATTAGTTAGTAATCGCTCTACCACTTCGTAGACAGCACAGTAGTTCTGGAAGCCTTGTGGCACAATGCAACCTCATGAATTACTGTCAAGGCTCTAATGGCAAATGTGAAGTATGAAAATATTTGGGGGCATGTGATCGGGAGTTAAGATTTTCTCAGCTAAGCTCCAGAGCTAAAAAAACACGCAGGCTGCAGTCTCTCACAATGTAGGCTCCCATTCTTGCCCAGCACCCTTAGCAATCATCTTCTTCACTGTGTGCTGCCTCTACAGGAAGTAAACACAGATTCTGTTCCAGCGTTCCTGTCGATCCAGCCTGGTCACTCCCTTCCTTTGCAGTTTGTCCTTTTTGTGCTTTACCAAGTATATGGAGTCCCATTTCCCTTTTTACCCAATCTTTTATAAAATCTTATTGAATTTATCAAGGTGATATTAGTTAATAGGGCCATATAGATTTTAAGTGTATATTTCTATGATACATGATCTGTATATTACATTGTGTGCCCAATACCCAAGGTCAAATTGTCTTAAAAGTGCTCTTTATCTTCACCCCTTTTTTCTTTTGCTCCCATCTCTGGAGAGAGAAACTAAGTTCCAGGACAGCAGGAACCACATCTGGCTGTGCTTGGCAGCATGTCCCCAGAACCTAGCACATGCCTGGTATGCAAGTAGTTGCCAATAACGTTTCTTAAATAGATGAATAAATACATAGCAGGATGCTATTTACAAGTAGTACACACAAATGTTATACCTTTTCTTTGACGATTCTCTGGGATTTATAAGGAGCATTGCTAGTAGAGTAGCATTTAGCTGGGAACAGGACTAAGCATTTTGCCTATCTCTAGAGTAAATGCTAATGGGCTTCTCAGTGGGACTATAGAATATAATCCTCATCACATATATTCACACATGTGAATATATGTGATGAGGATTTCTTTAATAAAAGAAATGCCCTGAGTCTGACTCTCACATTATGAGTTTCGGGTGGTGAATCTTTCCATGGCAGAGTCTCCATGGATTCCTTTTGTCTTCCTCCAACATACCTCACTTGGAGGGTCCTGGAATAACCTACCCATCTCTTCCTGCTTCCACCTAGAATGAGCTCTGAAGGTTATGGGGGCACAGGGCTTGAAGAATAGGACCTTTGGCGGGTGGCTGGACCTACGTTGAAAGTACCACCTAGCAGAGGAGGAAAAATGGAGACCCAGCTCAGGAGCTCAGGAGAACAGGCTAAGGAAACTGGGGACAGGGGGAGTGCTTAGGTTTCACAAATGTGGCAAGAAATGCCACATACATGCAGTTTAGAAGGCACCCCAAAACAAGTCCAGTGACACAGTTACCTCCCAGAGTGTGCCTGACAGTGATGGCAGAGAAAGGAGAGGTTCAAGGCACACAGAATGGAATCATCTCAATTAGAGAGGACAGGGGCAACTTCTCGAAAGAGAAAGAGCAAAGACAGTAGGTTCTCTAGCATGGGCTTAGAGTCCAAAGAGTAAAAAACCTGCTTCCTCCACTAAACCAAGGCCTTCCTGTGTTGGTCAGTTTTTGAGTTTCTTTTCTTTCTTTTTTAAATTAATTTTTCGAGAAAGAGGGAGGGAGGGAAGGAGAGAGAGAAAACATCGATTTGTTGTTCTACTAATTCATGCATTCATTGGTTGATTCTTGTATGTGCCCTGACTGGGGATGGAACCTGCAACCTTGGGGTTCTGGGACGACACTCTGACCAGGTGAGCTACCCAGCCAGTGCAGTTTTGCGTTTCAGGTTAGCCTGAGGACACCTCCTCAACAGGTGTATCTCTGCACCCGTGTGGTTCCTCGGACTCTGCCCTGGGCCCTGGTGACATCTCTCGCTTTGCCCTTCCCCCAGGACATCTTCTTTCCCCAGTGCTCCCTCTGACCACCTATCTAACTGCGTAACTCGAACCCACATGCTTGGCTTCTCAGGGTGAGGGGTGTGGTGGAGAGTGGTTCAGGCCTAAATATTTTGGACGCCTACAGAAAAATGAGCTGGAGGGTATGGTTGGAAATGGGAACCTGGAGATTTTAAGGGTTCTTGAATTTGAAACATTTCAGGGCACTATCCTTGGTATTTTTCTCTTCTCTTTCCACCTGCTCTCACTGAACAATGTTGTCCTCACTTATTGACAGGTTAAGTGGCCACTTAGAAGCTGACAGCTGCCTGTGTGGCCCCTAAGGCAGCCTTACCACACTGTACAGTGATGATCAATGTCCATCCTCTGCCACTAGGGGCGCAGATTCCTCAGAGCGGGGCTGTCTTCACTCCTCGGTGAGTCCGCATCCAGCATTTTCAGGAGTACCATTTACATTTGCCGAATGACTCTAAATAACAGGAGACAGATGAAATGATTATGGTACTGCCAAATGACAGGCATGAAACAGCTTTAAAGAACCTTGTTGCTAAAAAACAGTGAGGCCCTGACCGGTGTGGCTCAGTTGGTGGGCTGTCGTCCTGCAAAGCGAAGGGTCCCAGGTTGGACTCCTGCTCAGGGTCCACGCCTGCGCTGTGGGTTCCGTCCTGGATGGGGTGCGTGCAAGGGGCAACCCATCAATGTTTCTCTCCTTCTCTTTCCCCCCTCCCTCCCCTCTCTCAAAGAAAGAAAGAAAGAGAGAGAAAGAAAGACATGAGAAAGGGCTGATGGAATACTCAGAAAAAGAGTAGAGAGACAACACTGTATCCATAATATGATCTCAAATTTGCAAAAACATACACGTGCATGAGCAGACAAAAAATAAAACACATAGCTGGTTTAGTGGAAATTTTCTCTGGTGATAGGACTTGGCTGCTTTTGTGTTTCTTTTTTGGATTTACCTGTACTTCCAAAATTTTCCGTGACAATGTGTTATTTTATTATTATT